TGTGACAAATAACGGGGAGATGGGGGGCCGATGCGACGCTTCAATTATTGAGAAACTGAGGCCCTTCCTTCCCATGCGCCCATCTGCGCAGCGAGCGCAGCAGTCGCGCCGGCCGAGGCTCATGGGCAACCGGACCAAAAGCTAGAAGCTCGTCTTCACCGTGAGGAGCAGACTTTCTGACCGCAGCTTACGACATTGAAGCTTTGCGAGTTCTGACGAGGCGATGACAGGTTAACCACTGGCAGCGGTGGACAGGACCCCTGGTGTCTTCGTCTTACTTTACGCTGACTGTCGTTATGTGGGAGGCGGCATGCAACTGTCAGGCTCCGATGAATGGGCCATAGCTTCACGCAGCCGGAACAGGGACATGCTTTGGCAACTCGGGAGTTTACATTGGGCAGTCTCACCCGGTGCAAGCCGAGCTTCAGTCGACTTCAGAGGTAACCTCGAAGCCCAGGCCATCTCGCGATGCTACGTGGAAGCGTATGCCTCGAAGCCAAACTTGCCAATGTTTCTGTGCAGCCTGGTCTAAGTTTACCTGCCGATGCACTGCAAATCCGGAGCAATATCGCCACGATGCAGCGGCAATTGCACCCCCAAAGCTGCCTAGTCACAGCCCTACAACGACGGTCGACTTTGCCCAGAGGGTGTTTGTATTTCCCACCCCACGAGAAACGTTGGACATCCAAAATGGTTTCCTCAAAATCACTCAGTTCAACAGACGATCGTCTATTGTTGCGCTCGTTTCTGACGAACAGATTTATCCAGCAACGGCCGGCTTGGCGACGAATCCTCTTGAACAGAGAGCGTATCCACATCTTCACCGGTCACCCAAGTTAAGCAACTGAAATGGGATCGCCCCCGGCCCATGCCAGACCATGATGCAGACCGCGCTGCGGGCCACGCCGCATCTGCACCGCCGTTGAGCCATTCGGCTGAGCGAGATGCTGCTGCTGTCAGTTGTCATGGCCAGCAACCGCCTCGGCTCCGGCCAGAATGCCACACCGGTCACCTCTCATCGACGGTGTTGATGCCCATTCCGCTGTAGAACCAAGTTCAGCGGTCGCTCAAATGCATCCGAGGCTCAACATGGCATCACACACACGTATGCCCACATGCTGACCGAGGCCACCTAGCATCTGATGTGGTTGTCCTCGCACCCAGAGTCTTCCCCGACAGCCCCAGACTTTGGTCTCGTTGCAATGTCGCACAGCGCCCAAGACAACGCTTGCCAATGAGCGTTTCATTGTGCCTGACGCAGACGCTCAATTACTGCGTATGTATGTAAGAATGACTACCGCAGCAACGCATCGCAACCCGGAACTATCCATCATGTACAAGTGACGTTGGAACGATGCCCGACATTCTCGACTGCAATGTCAGCTGAGACGCACAACATCCCAATCGCCCAGCGAGACATTGGATTCCCATCCCTCTAATGCCCTTACCCGAAACCAAAGAGCCTGAAAGGCAATTACCCGCCCGAAGACACATCAAAGACACGGTCTCGGGCTATCGGAATCGGCGATTGCGATTTTTTGACACCCCACGGAAAAGCCAAGTGACACAGCATCCCATCTTGCTGTTCATCCTTCTTCAAGTCCCTGGAAGACTTAACCCCGGGAGAGCAGCAGCAAGCATTTTTCAGATGACCATCCTATCGTGCGCACTAAGACGCGCACTAGCCCCCCACACCCCTTCTGGCTCTCATCATTCCCACGTTGGGCAGGTCGTCGCACCAGAAGAGATACCGCGCGCCGTCGCGCTATTGTGCCTCCAACTCGTGGCGTTCGCGGGACGGACCAGCTCTTTCACCAACGTGGCTCACTAACGGGCACCGAGAATCCTTCCCGGCCTCTTCGCTCCTCGGCCTCAACCGCGAGAAACAAGAGCCAGAGAGGTTGTCGCTGTCAACCACGGCTAATACCCCACGCCCAATTACCGTGGGTTTCAACGACCACACCCCCCGGTGGCCCATCCTGGTCACCTTCCCCTCTACGCCAGATTGCTCACCGAGGACTTTCACCGTCCCCCTTCCTTTCTGTCGCAGATGCCCTCCGTCCCTCTCGAGACTCGAGATAATCCAGCACTCGAGAAACGTGGGCGGCCCCGGCCCGCGTGGGATGTCTGCCCCCCTCGTCCCAAATCCCACGCCGTGTCTTCCACGCGAACTCTTACTCGATAACATTCTCCATGACGAAACATCTCAGTATCAAACCAGGCCTGACTGACGGACCGGCCGTATCCGTACAACACGCCCAAGTGAGACTCTCGACTAACACACCAGCCAGCCCGGTGCCCAATCGGTACCAGAACGTCAGACGTCCAGATTCGCCCCCAAAATCTGCCAACGCCAGCGCTCATTCTCAGTCTCATGCACCGCCCCGTTTCCGTCCGCGAGCGCAGAGCCCAACTCGCTGCACGTCAAAAAAGCGACTGCACAGCATCCCAAAGCACAGCACCTCTCTTCACCGGTCAAGAACCACCACCAAAAAGTCCTCCCCACATCCCTCCTCTTCCAGCTTGCTCTGAAAGCCTCCACACCAAAAGAACAAGGCACTGACAGCTTGCCGTCTGGCAGCACTAAACAACCCTGTGACGTGTGGTAGCGCAGGAGCTAATTAGTCCTTCCTCTTCCTGCCCCCTCCCCTCCTCCCCTGCAACCCTCAGCAATTTAGCCCAGTTTGGTGAACTCGATTAGGGAGCAAGGGGAGAGAGAAAGGGACATGGGATGGAAGCTGGCACGCACACGCACGCACCGCACATTCTGTNCCCCCCCCCCCCCCCCCCCCCCTCTCATGGAATAGCAAAGACGTGGTGGACGTTGCGCTTGTCATCTCAACTAGTGAGTGGAGGGTGTTGGAATGAGAGGTGTTGGTGTGTGCAGTGCCCGATGCTTGAACCTTGGCTCGCTCCCACTTCGCATACAAGTGCGAAAAGCAAAGTGGCACATTGGGTCACTCAGCACAAAAGGTTGATGAACTGGTAAACGATTATCGGTAGTCTTGAGGATTTTTTAATCTCTGTCTTCTCTCTTGGTAGCTGACGCCCTGTTCTGTATCTGCCAAGCGCATCTTGGTTTTGTGGTGTGTACAAAGGTGATTGTCCCCCTGTTGCTTCCCGAGCCAAACCTCCCAATTGCCTGGTTGCCGTATCTGGGGCGGTGGCAGCGGACGAAGCTGTTCCTCCCCACGGCTACAAAAAATACCTATGCAAACACCCGAAACACATGCGCTGCTAAACACCCGCCGCCGGGGTGCATACACAGGAATTTCCCAAACTCCTGCCACCGCCTTCAAGTCCTTCAAAACAAGACCATCATTCAACAAAAGCCCTGCCACAGCACTGGATAACGACCGTTCAATGCGTGTGAGACTAGTAGCCTTCGTCGAAGAAACACCACGCGGAAAAGACCGCAGCCCCAAAATCCAGAGCCGACAAGGCAAGAGGGCGGGCTAATGCAAGGCCACGAGAGGTGTGGTGGCTTTCGCTTCGCTTTCTCCCATCCCCTCCCCATCACCCACCACGGTAGTGGAGGATGCAGCAGAGTGTGGACAGAACCGATCCCGTCGCGCGTGTCCGTTGACCGGGGGGGCCAGGACGACGGCCTTAGCCCCGGGGACCAAAGTCGGCTCGGCGTAGGCGCCCGAATAAAGTTGGATAGTCTGCAACGCCGTCGTTCTTTCCCTGCGGTCCTTCCCGCCGTCTGGTATCGTAGTGCTGACTGATGTTGCTTGCTGTGTTGTGTGTCTCTTCGTGTACCCAAAAAGCCATCTGTATCTTTCTCTGTAATCCCTTCTCTTGCATGTAACCCAAAAACAAAGAGCCCGCTTATCCCATTTGCAACGCCATCTGCAATGCTGTATCCATGAACACTCCTTCGAAACAAAACGCCGTAGACCGGTAATGCAGGTTCGCACCTGCGGAGATAGTGTTTTCTTGTTCTTTTTTTCTTTTCTTTTGCCGAGCCGAAAGGGATCCTCCTCTTGTGGACTGGGCGAGACCACCGATGATCACCGCCCTCTCCACCCTCACATCACCGACTGTGACTGCAGACGGGCAACCATGAAGTCGTCTCTGCCCAGGACCGTTTGCGTGTCGCGGAAATGCTGCTCTAGCGCGATGCAGCTCGTTGGCAGACTGGTGGGGATTCGTCGTTCTGCAGCAGTTGCGCAGTAGTCGGAGGTAATGTCGGCAAAAGCACCCCGACTAGCTGTCGAGCATGGTGCCTGTGTGACCACCATGTCTTGGGTGCGTTTCCCGCCAAAAACAACAAAGGGATAAAAAACCAATGGATTTCTCAAGGCAAACCCCGCATCTTCCTCATCCCATCATCGAGGCGAGCTTGACCCGGGAGGTCGGAGGAGGGAGCTGTCGGGAAATGCGAAATGTGATGAGCCAGAGGCGCTGCGTGCCGGATCTGCCCTCGCGCCTTTGCCCAGATGGACATAATTTGACGCGGTTGACCGTGATCGGCAATAGAGCAGAAAATTGTGGATTCGATTACAAGCCGATGGGCGTGTTGTTGCGCCTGATCATGTTTTCCCAGGGGATGGGCGCCGAAGGTTTGCATTCGCCTGCGAGTCGAGCTGTCAGTTTCACATCCTGCATGAGAAAAGAGAGAGCACATCTGAATGCAAGCACGCAAGGCATGCTATGCTGTGCTGGTGCCTCGTTCGACCCAAATTGTGCTGCTGGTGCTGCCCACTCTGCCACCCATGCAGTCCCATTTCCGGCTGCTTGGTTGGAGTTGGGTGGGGGCAGCCCAGAGGGCCCTTTTTGCAGCAGATGGAATGAACCCCTGCAAATCAAACGTGGGTGGGAGAGGCGCTGCCACGGCGGAGCGAGGCCCGCACGAGAGGCAGAGAGAGGGGGAGGAGGGAGAAAGGCGGGAAAAGCGTCATGACATACTGCAAAGTTCATCGCCCCTGCCGATACACGTTAGTTACCTGCCATTCGGAGGTCGGAAAGGGGGAAAGAGTTGGCTTGGGCTGGAGGATCTACGGAGGCATAGGGGAAAAAGAAATGGTTGTGACGTACCTGTACTCGAAGTGCGTGACGCACGGTTGACAGCGCTGCTGCGTGCGGATGTAAACTATGCACCAGCGGGAAACGATATAGCGCTTGTGACTGCAGCGGAATTCTCTCTGCAGAGAAGGAGGGCATGTTAGTCTCTTGACGAGTTTCTTTCGTATAGGCCTCAGGGTCAGATGCGTACTTGAGTGTAGTCGCACATGTTTTGTTGGTGAAGTATTCGGTGAACCCGTGGACGAGGTGACGGTAAGTCGGGCCCGGTGGTGGTGGTGGTGGTGGTGGTGGTGGTGATGGTGTAAGTCGACGTGAACGCGGGTGTTGACGAGAAGCCGGATTGCTGAGGAGAGAAGAGTGGCCGTAGGGGGTATTAACAGTTTAAAAGAAGGAAACAACAAGGTTTGGTCGTATTCTCGCAGCTAGGACGTCGTGAAGGCTTCGTACAGAGGGAGGGTGCTGGGCACGATGTGATTTTAAACTCAAGGTCGTTGGGATGTGGACAAGAGCGAGGTGGGAGGAGTGGTTCGTATGTATATAGCGTGTGTTGAGTGCTTCGGGGGCAGAGAGGCGGCGGACGAGGGCGAGGAGGTTATGAATTAGAGTGGGCAACGCTAAAAAGGAACCCACGCAAAAGAATGTTGCCGGGATCAGTCTTGCAAGGCTTGCCGGTCCATATATACGCAAGTACCGCTACGTCGGAGGTATGTGAGTGAGGGAAGACACAAGACGGAGGAGCCAGCGCGAAGATGCCTGTGCAAAGACATCTCTGTCTGAGAGCCCGAAGGGAAGCCCAGTCAGCCCCCCAGCGAGACTGGCGGGTGCACCAAGCATCTCGTTGGACCCAGTCCCAGGTCGCGATTGCTCATGCCGCTCTGCTGGACCCTCAGGCCTGCGAAGCCAACCTTGACAACCGACTGAGCGAGCGGATCGGGCAGGAAGAGGAGTGGACGAGTACGAATACTGGTCGTGGTAGGGGACAAGAGGGTGCGGTGCAACACGCCCTGGAGCCACTGGTTTTGACCTTTCAGAGCGTTGAAGCTCACCATCGCTCACTCGTTCGTTCCTCCAACCTTAGCACTCAGTTTCCTTCAGGCTCAGGCCGGGCCGAGAAGAGGGGGTGTGCGTAATGTGAGTTTGTTTGGGCTTGGGAGCAAGCAGGTAAGGTCTGGTCTGTCTTGTCTTGGGGGAGTGTGCCGTGTTCTCGCTCAGCACCCAAGTCTCCAACGTCCATGTACCGTACACCGTGCTTGCTGCGCAGCACCGGATTGCCCACGTACTTTACGGGGTAATAAGGCCAACCGAAGGCATGACATGCCCTGCTGCGAGACCCTTCTTCTGCCCTGGGTTCGCCCCCTGGTCCTCTCCGTCCAGATACGTGATTGCCCAGCAGGTACTCCGTCGTCCGTCTCTAGTTGTGGTCCGTTTTCTCACCGGTCGCGACCTTTATATCGGTCTGAGACTTCATCTGGTCTGGTCTGCACCGGTGTGCTAGCAGAGTCGCCGCCAGCTAAATGAAGCAGCCAACTGGAGCACGTTTTTGCCCAACGGGCCCGTGTCTACCAGACGGCGGCAGACCCAAACAAAACAAAACAGCAGCAGTGGCATCAGCAGCAGGCGCAAATCGGTTTGGCCACCACAGCCACGCCAGCAAGTTCTGCTCGACCGTCTGGGCCTTGTCGTAGGGCAGTCTGCCCAATTTTGGTCGCTGGCACTAGTCGACGCCAGGGGAAATCCTCCCTCCGGACCGTCGCAGAGGAGCAACGAAACAGGCACCCGCCGGCTCATCCCCTAGAAGCTTGCGTCTTTCCCAACTTCTATTCGACGGACGGCTGTGACGCGCAAAATTGAGGGGGGACGCAAAACGGGAGAGAGCGTGGGTTGCACTTGGGATGGCGGTGATCCTAGGCCTCAGGACTGGCGCCTTGCCTGAAAAGGAACGCTTGAGGAAACAGAGTTTCCTCACTGTGCGAAGCTAGCCCCCTTGGGAGATATCGTCGGGGAGCTCCTCGTTAGTGTGATCCCAGCTTTCATGGTCGTCTTGATGCTCTGTTGCCTCCCTCCCTCCTGCGACAGCTCCATCAACTCCTGTCAGTCCGTCCCTGTCTGCCTCTTGCAATTACCAGTCCGACAATGGGTCCCCAGACACATGACTTTCGACTTCTAGGCAGGGATTATGGAAGCAGTGAACGCACGTTCTCTGCGTGCCATCATGACCCAGACATTGCGCTGGGAGCTACCGGGGTCCCTCGCTCAAGGGGTCTGGGCGATATTGCTGGCTGGAGCGTCCCGTTGAATGCTGGCAAACGAGACGGCCCCAAGGAGAGAGGAAACAGTCCCGTCGAGAAGAAGAAGGCGCAATTGACACTGAGCAGCAGGGTGCATCAACCATGTCGGTATCTTGACTCCCTCGACGGGTGGACGGGTGGGACTCTGGATGCGCCTGAAGCCGGACAGGGATGACGACAAGAGCCGAAAGTTAAGGTACCTGCGTGTGGCTTCTGAGCGGACGGACGCGGTCCTCTGTGCTGTGCTGTGTACGCAAATAGTAGCTCTTCGCAATCGCGTCAGAGAGACGTGAACGCAAGGGAGAGCATCACGCAGCTCGGCAAGGGTAGGTGCTGGCGCAGACGACTGGTGCCGATGTGGGCTTGGCTTAATGATTGAGCGGTACTGGCTGATGGACGACCAGTGGCCACGGGCAGTCCAAACAGTTCCCCTTGCTAGTCCTTAGCGCGCCCTTTTTTGGTGGTGATTCTGGCCCCGATTATGCGCCACCTGAGTCAAGCAGTATTTCCCATGTCTAATGAGACTCTGGAACCTCAAGAGCGAGCATCATGGTTGTAGCGATGGTTCATGATGGTCCAAAGAAGTCTAGCAACTAATAGAAGCTAGTTGCCTCACTTCTGATGCGAATTAGGAACGCGCATCACCCAAGTGCAGGGCCTTGGCTGGTGATGAATCTTCCGTACAATGTAACAGGAGGAGAGCCGGAGGTCGAACATGTCTGCGCCGTCTTGGACCTGCCTCGTCGTCGTCGCATGCAATTGGCCGCGCGGACCGGGTTTGTCTTATGCATGTCTTGTGCATCGATTTCTTGTAGAGCCCGGTATGGCGATATTCATGCCTCGGCAGTCCAATTACTTCTCGCGTGTCAATCTTGTCCGCACCCAAGTCAACGGACTGCAATCTGCATCGATGAGGAAACCGGAGAGAAGGTTTTGCGGACAGCTAGCCACCGCACGTGGCGATGACCCTGCGCAACGAAGATCATCAACGAGTTTGTCAAACCGAAACGACGGCCAGGCCACTTCACTGCCAGTTCGTGCCACTTTCTGGGCGGTCCATTGCAGATGAGCCAGCACGAGACCCTCTTCCTTTTTCCAATAGCCCTCAAGGTGCCGACGCTAACACAGCTTTGGCAGCCTTGAAACCTGGGCATGGAAGCTTCCAACGCCGTTACCATCATCTCCGAAGAAGAGATAAGGTCACCGCTTCTTCTGGCTGACGACATCTTCCATGAAGGACTTTGGGCATTAATCTTGCATCGTATTTGCCGGGATCGCCATCTCGAGTCCCACGAATGAGTAATTTGTCCACTTGCTGGCACCCTCAATCTTGCAGTCGTCTTCAAGCGATGATTGACAATCTCCACCCTTAGCACATAGAAACCACCACTAGTCGCAGAACTTGTCCCATTTTCGGGGGCGTTTCAAATTCGCCTTGTCTTCGCTCACCAGCTGCTCTGTGTTCTGTTTCTCCGACTGGGTCATCCCTTCACCACGTGGAACGTCATTTGGACCGGCGGCGGGATGTCATCAACCGTCAACGGCGGTCCCATTGCTTTCCATCAGTCGTCCAGCCTTCCCGTCAGCCCCGGGTTCGTGCCGCCCGGCCCCGTAGCTGCTGTGTCGCTGATGGGTGTTCGTGCCTCGTGTTCAACAGGGAGATTGCCCGTCTTTGGAGATGGGGTAGTCCTCGTCGACAGACAAGAGCCGTCTGACCCACCGCGGCTAAGACCTCAAGCCCACCAGCACTCCAATGTTCGGGAGTGCTTCAACGGCAGAAGGCGTGACTTTGGTTTGCAAAGTTGCATCTGCGATGTCGAGATGAAGTCTGGACTCGCTCTTGACTCAACAGGCCTGTGTCGGCATGTACCGGTCCTTTTGCAGATAGAATTCGACCATCTGTCTTGGCCCTTGTCCCATCCTGGGTCAGAATCACCGTGCGCTGCCTGCCGCTGGCGGCTGCAATGGAAATCCTAACGATCACCCCGTCGCAAAGCTTCAGCCCCAGCGGTTAACCTCATTATACTTTCTGTGTTATCCGGCGACGTTGCATAGAAAGTCAAGTCAAAATTTGACGTCCGTGGAGATGCTGCAAGAGTCGAAAAGGCGCCGCGAAATTCGGCACCCGCGGCTGTATGGTTGTCCTCAAAACCATTGCAGCATTGCTATTCGCTGTTAATTCCGAGGATCTTCTGGCGACTCCGCCAGCGGTACCGCGACTCCTCCAAATGGAGCAACATGTTCCTCCAAGGCGCAGTGCGCTGGGTCCTATCAGGATCGACAATTTGTTCTTCACGTGGTGCGCAGGTGCCAGTGTGACTTCGATGCATGTTACTCGGACCAGGGTGTGAACTTCGAGCCGTGATGATGATGCCCCATGAAGGTCATCTCTGCATGTCAGTGCTTTGATGAGAAGTTAACTCTCAAAGCTCTGCAAGTGTCCGGCCGGGGGTGAACTTGATGAAGACCCGAGCGTGTTGCTGAAAATTGCCAGAATGGGCCAATGTGGTTATCGCATCAGTCAGGTTGCGCGATTCTTCGCCCGGCGGTGGTCAAGCAGGATTTGATACCACTACACCGACATGTTCAACCGATGTGTCGCAATTAGAGAGAAGCGATGTCTCTTCAACGGGACAATATGCCAGTACTCAACACTGGTTGGTCAAGTGCCATGTGTTAGCCTATTAGGAAACCAGCATTTTCCTTATGTCCGAGCCAACCGGCGAAAAGCAAACCACTAAGCAATGCCATTCAGCGGTTGAGCAATACCTGGAGCCCTGCCCTGGCCATTTTAAACTTTCGAGGGGACCAATATGCGGGCGTCTTGAAAATCCTCTTGACCACAAAAAGCACTCGATGAGCATCATGCCCCACACCGGTCAAGCTGCCTCCAGGGGTGCAGTCCCGCTGCTTGTTGTCA